GAAGATTCTAGAAGGAGAAGAGGGCATGCGAAGACGACAGGCCTGTTCATGAATATGTATTAACAGACAGGCTATAAACCAGGAACACGAACTGTACCGCGTGCGTCTTGGTGGAGCAGAGACTCCCGGCGCACCCAGCGCTGTTTGCTTGCCTCTATTCACTTAATAAATTGTAAATTTGAATTGGAATCCTGTTTGGGACTAAATCATTTATAACAGGCACAAACTTAAACACAGGAGGTTCCATCTGAACATTAGGAAACACTTTCTTTTAACTGCAAAAACTGTAAAAACTGGAACAGGTTGTCTAGAGAGGATGGGGAATCTCCATCTTTGGAGATACTAAGAGACATCTGGACATGGTCTTGGGTAACCGGCTCTAGATGACCCTGCTTGAGCAGGGGGGATGGACTAGGTGACCTCCAGAGGTCCTTTCCAACCTCAACGATTCAGTGACTTTGTGATCCTGTAATACAAACCCAGATATTTTATACATCAGAAATTCCCACTTGAAAGCATTTGTCAAGGCTCCCTGCATGCAGGAGGGGAGTGACACTCACCAGTTGACTATCTCTGTTACCCACCATGAGTTTTTAGCCATTTAAAAAAAACCTTACCTCTGCCAGGGGGGAAAAGGTGGGAAAAGTGTTTCCTCACACCAGTGCTACTCTTCACCCTGATCCCTGCTGTTATTATTAGGGCTGCAGGTCAGGTACACCAGGAGAAACAGAGTATGTGCTTGCAGCCTGGTTAAGTGTGAGTATTAAGACATCTAAATTGCCCTGAATAAAGCCATGAGACAACATCATTGTATCAAAGCTTGCCAAGAGGGCATGGTCTGGTGTGGACAGTAAACATTTCCATTTGATTGGTTTTAAGCAAAACTTAATCAGATCAGGATGAGAGAAAAGTCTTTTACCTTGACTGGGTACCCACCTACAGTCTGGCTTCCTGCAACACCATCCCCTTAACCGGAGGCAGCTTTTTGGCAGAGGTGGCCTGGTTGGCCTTATTACTGTCTGAGTTCTTTTTATTGCTACTCCAAAATAAAGAGCATTTTTCCTAGAAGACAATCAGGCTAGTTTATGGTGCACTTAGACATGAATTCCACGAGGATTCCAACTTCAGGAGGCGATTTTAATCACTGTTTAACTAGAATCTAGTTATTAATGAAGATTTCAAAATATAGGTTAAATTAAGCCCTAGTTAAGATTTTGGTCAGTGTCAAGCCAGTTTTACAATGGTCTGTTTGCCTTCTAAAAACACAGCACCACATAGGCTTTAGGTCACATTAGCAGAGGAGAGCTACGATGCGGCATTTGGGCGTGTTTTATGCCTGTACAGATTTAGACTTTTTTTTCAGAACTGAAAAGGTCCAACAGATGCATCTCAAACTGGCTCCACTGTACTCTAGACTAAGATTTAAGTGTTTCACAGTACATCATCTGGACTGGGTTTAGAGCACACTGCTCCCTCCAGAAGCCAGAGGCATGCAAGATACTGCGGGAAGAAGTTGGGTTCAGGGAGACCTTCACACTGGCAGACATGTGAAGGTGCGGACAATGCCCCGGTTCGGTGCCCCCTCTGACATCGCCTCTGACTTCAAGAGGGAGGACTGTGCATGATTAAGCAATCATCACTAGATCAGCAACACTTCAATCAAACGAGGAACGCACCTTGGCTGCAAACTGCTGTCTTCCAGTTTACAAGCTCCTACCTATTCATTAGACAGAGACTTTCATGTGCTGTTGCACAGCTACCTTAGCTATTTATAAGGTCATTGAGGCTTTATAATAACTTTCCAGGTAATCAGGCACTTCCTGCCGTCGATTTTTCATTCTAGGTACTTCATGACACTTTTGGCTGAGCACCCAAATACAGCTGGCTTATGCCTGCATTTGGGATATTTCACAAGCAGACAGTCAGTTGACTGGAGGGAATCTAAAATCCAGCTTTTGTTCCTGACGCTTTCTGGCATGGTTAAGACTCTTTGATACCAGGAATTAAGACCTGTACAAAGCAGGGTGACGAAATGCCAGCCCAGGGCTGCGTAAGGTCTTAGAAATAGCTGCCTAGCAAATACAGACTTTTTTTTAGATACGCTGGTGCTATGCAGCAGAGTGAAGCCTGTTTGCCAGCACCCACTTGGCATGTGCTGAAGCAGAGAGGTTCAGCACGCTCAAAGCCTGACCATCTCGGGAGCACAGTAGGGGTTTAACGCTGAGCCCTCAGCCCTAGCATCGCTCCCACCCTGCAGGGAGGTGCGTGGGGGAACAAAGGGATTTGGGATCATGTGTTTAAGTCAATTAAGCACTTGTAGGCTTGGTTAAAATCCAATTACCTGATACTCTGAGAACCCTGGCGCTACTTAAAGTGGGTTTGCATTAGCATTGCAGTAAGTGCAGTTACAGGAGGTCGAGCAAAGGCAGCCCCTCACGCGTGCTCTCAGCATAGTCCGCTCTCATCCTAAGCATTGCCTTTTTATCCCCACAAGTAGCCTCTTCACTTCTGTAGCTTCAGAGCCAGCTGAAGCCATTTGACTGTAGTGCAAAACTCAATAAGCTTGCTTTGATATAGGTTAGGGAGCTAGATCTCTACTTCGAGAGCTAAAGCTTTTAGAGAGCTTAGTGTTATCAGATGAATGTTTTGGAGCTCGAGCCACAGATCTCCATCAAGTGTTTTAGCTGTTTTATATTCAGTCCTCACAGCTCAGGCCTGACTCGTGCCAGCCAGGCACCCTCACTGCCCTCCCCATCGTTGGCCAACTTCTACCCAGCTGCCAGCTCCCTGCAGGCTTCAAACGTCTTCACTTCTCAGTAAGCCCAGATCCACAAAGGCCCCAAGGGTTTGATTTCTAGAGCTATTTGGAGTAATTTGCAGGGAAACAAGTGAGTTTCCAGGGAAAAAGACAGGGTCCAGTCTGGGTTGAGAAGCAGCCATGGTATCTGTGCCCCTTCTGTAAGAACACAGCGACTGCATTTCATTTGTGAACAAGCTGCGCTCAAGTAGCTCCATCCCCTCAAGAAGGCTCCGATTAGAAAACTGGTGGGGCCCTGCAGAGATGCACAGATTTGTGCAATGGCACAGACCTGCTGCTTTCTGTGGAGGCTGGGTTGATGAGCTAGGCTTGCTCTTTCATTAGCTGGATGAGCTGGGAAATGCTTCCTCCTACAGGAACCCACTTCCATCATTGTTGTGCATCAAGATGGCTTGAAATGCTTTTATGTTATCTATTTGCAGACCAATTTCTAGATGGCTGAGAAAGTCCTGCTGCTGCGTGCTGGCACCTGGCACCATTAGGACATGGCTCGTGGCATCAGCCAATGTTTCCTCAGGAGTGTTAGATTGTCAGCCCAATCTACATCATCTGATTAAGTCTGATTTGACTAACAGCATTTCCCATTAGACACCTGCAAGTTCTTACCTGACTCCTTGCCATGAGTACAGCTGCTGAGATAATGAGCGGGACACTCAGTCCAAGGAAGACATACTGCAGGCAGTCCAGCAGGGATGGGATCAGCACCAGGTTGGTGTAAAACTGCCTTAGGACTGAGCCTTCAATGGATCCGCTCTGCTCAAAAAAAGCCAAAAGTTGTCAGTGGCATTTCCCTCTCATCCAGGCCTGAGAGACCAGCTGTACAACTCCTCTCCCACCACCTCCCAGGACAGATTAGGGAATTTATGTGAGATTCAGTCAGGCTAGAAGCTTTTACTAAATAGCAGGAGGCACACAGACGGAGACTGCACGCCCTGGCCCACATTAGCATGGGGATGCTGGCAGCTCTGTTCTGGGCTCTATTTAATCCCACATCTAGGACAGAGCCAGAGGTTTACCAAGTATAGTGTAGGGTTTGTTCAGCTCAGAGGGATTAACAGCACAGGCAAGTATTGCAAAGCCTTCTGTTGGTGCTTAATTAGTCTGGCTGGCTAGCTTAAAGCTTTATTCAAAGTGGAGTTTCCCAGCCCGGGCTGATGGGAAAGCAGTCTCCCCCCCTCCCACAGGAGAGGCTCTGCAGAATCAGGTCAAGGAAGGCAGCTCACCTCTGCAAACCACAGCAGCGGCAGGACCACTGGTTTAATCTTCCCTGTTTGACTAGGGAGGGGGATGAGGAGAAAAAAAAAGATACACACTTAGATTTCTGGTTGATCAGGCTACAACCAGTGTCAAAATTCTTCCTAAAGGGACAGGTCTGACAGACTGATAGTGGCCAGGACAATTCCTGCTGCTTCAGTGAGCCGCTTCCCCCTTGAGGGACCAGGTCTAACATGGGCCTTTCATGCGAGAGCAGAGCTTACGCTGCCATTCGTGCTTAGCTGCCCGACGACAGCAGTAAGTGCCATCCCAAATCTAGGCTCCAGGGACAGCAACTCAGTGAACTGGAATGCTAAACTTCACGCAGCTCCAAGACCTCTCAGTCACCTGCATGGTACCTGACGGCAGTGCAGCCAAGTTCACAGCACACACCAGGCTGTCTGCTGGTGTATGCACTCAAGCCAGGCAAAGCAGCAACTGCACGTTCCCACCCTTGCGGGTATTTAACATCTGGCACCACACAGCTTTGTTACAGAACCCTTCTGATTGCTTTCATTGAGCTGAAAGTGTCTTTTTGGACACAGGCTTCAACTGTCCAGCCTGTAGGCAGTGTGTCTTGTCTCTCCGTGTTGACTATAAGACCTTCTGAGCAGCAGCACAGTGCAGGGGAACTGCTCCTGTGCCTCACCAGGAGACGCAGTCCATTTATCAGCTGCCCGGTCAGGTGCAGGAGCCAAGCAGACAGCCACACACCACACTGCTAAAGGTTTGAGGTCACTGGAATAGCTGACATTTCACCGCATGAGCCAGCTGGCTTCTGCAACCGTGACAACTGGTAATGTCAAAGCTACTTCATCCGTGGGGAGAGTAAACTCTGCAGTGACCCCAGCATCAGCAGCACTCCCTGCTCAAGGGAAATGAGCATTTCGAAGAGGTGACTACTTACATTATACCAGACACCTGCTTTATGTACAGATTTAGCTGGAGCTTGATGGAGCAATTCATGGGGATGCCCGTCATCTGCATAGGAAGAGATGAAGCAGTTCATCAGTACAGCCAACCTTTGTCTGGAGAGCTTTGCAGAAGAGCAGCCCTTTGCTTTCCATCATAGCTACTCTGGGTGCCACCTTCCAGACCAAGGGACTGGATCATCCAGAGATCCACTGCAGTCACCACACACAAGATCAGGAGCATGGCCAGGGTTTCCATCAAAGCACAAGCATGGGTCAACTAGGCATCAGTCCCCAGGCTCTGTAAGTGACTCCCTAGGCAGATGTTTTAATAGCAGCTTCAGTGTTTTTTGAAGACTGATGAGCCTCTTCTGTTGTTCATCCTACCCACAGCAGGATGGAAATACATCAATGCAAAAGATTCATGCACACAGCAAAGGACAAAACATTTCTCCTAACTAGGAACCAACAGCCACTGTCCAGCAACACCCTAAGACTATGGAAACACCCCACTTTTTAGCTGGTCTTCTTAACACCCATTAAGGCATTGGTTTCTCATGACACTGCAGTTTTACAACACATTTTTAAGGGCAGACTGTTTTTGTTGGCTTGCCATTTGCACTCAGCATGCTGCAACTAGCTAAGAATATAGTTAGTTTTACTGTTATCAGTAAACATCTGATACTGTAATAAGCTTAATTAGATTTCCATAACTGTGATAAGAAAAGCAGAGAGAACCCAATGCCTAGATAAGAAGCATACCTTACCTTGCCTCAAGAGGGGGATTGGTTTCTTGGTTGAAGAAACACCACTAAACGTTTGGAAGATCTGACCACAAGTTGGAACAGGCTGCCCAGGGAAGCGGTGGAGTCACCATGACTAGAGGTGTTCAAAAAACACGTAGACATGGTACTTCGGGACATGATTTAGTGGGCATGGTGGTGTTGGGTTGATGGTTGGACTTGATGATCTTAGAGGTCTTTTCAAACCTTGATGATTCTATGCAACACAGGCCATAGGTGGAAGATCCCAAAGTCACCTCCCCATCAGCAGCTGGGACAACAATGGCTCAGGACACCCCAGCTCATCACCACTGGAATGGTGACTTCACCCTTAGCTATAGATATGCACAAGGCATAATACTGCAACAGTCCAGTGCAGAAGCAGCCAGATAGGCAAGTTCAGAGAGTAGAAGCCAGCCCAAAAGTTGTGGCGATAGCTTGAGCTACAGCATGGTCTTCAGACTCTGCCAGTCATGGCAGTACCTGTTGGCAGATTTGGGGTGTAACTGGGCTGCTGCTGCTAGATATATCTCCTGGTGTTATGGACCTGAGTCAGTGGAAAGACCTTGACTGTGCTTATCAAAACAATTATGCTTGTAATTAGTTCTGCAATTCTCTAGAAGCCAGGCTAATCATTCTATTCATTCATGGCTTTGCCATTTTTATCTGCACACATCCTTGCCAGTCTTTGCACTGTGGAACCTGCTCAAATCAGTGCCACGAGAGCAGAGCAAAGCCACCATGCAGCTGGTAGCAGGCTCCCCTCCTCAGCCCGGGCTGGACCCCGGAGCAAGGTGAGACTCCTCTGCAGGGTGAGGACCACCCCAGGCTCACTCACCGGGTGCACATCGAGGAAGAGTGCGTGCTGGTCCTTGCTGGGTTGGAGGCCTTCGACAGCATTCACCAGGGCTGGGTCAGCATTGTAGAAGTGAGGATGGGAAATGAATATTGGTGCGTCTGGATGAGAACAAAGACACCTTCAGCTCATCCAAAACCATCTGAGACTTTTTGTTGAGGTTTTTAAGCCATGGCAGCACTTGTTCTGAACTAGCTTTTAGAATTTTCTGCTCCCAACCAGAAAGCTCCTTCCCTTTCCTCCCTGCAGTTTATTCCATTGCTCTGGGAGGGTTAAGACCCCGTGTTTAAGCCACCTTCTCCCCCCTCCATGCACCACGCAATGCCATGGCAACTTGCTCTGCCCAGACACAGGTTAGGACACTAAGTCTGAATTCTCACTCCTGCATGACCTGCATTCAGCATCCAAAGTTAACATTTAACTTGGCAGTTACATGGCCTGCCTCTTCCCACCCTTGCTGCCCTGCCTGCTGCCTCCCCAGCCCGGGGGATGTAATGCTCCCATGGTATCCTTAGGCACTCCCAAAATCCCTGTTGTAGGGCTGTGGACCAAAGGGACTTCGGGCACAGGGATTTTTCCTCCTTGCTGAGATGCCTGTCAGAGTACGAGAACACCATGCACGCAGACCCTGGCAGTACCTTTGAGCACCCCGGCAACAGCAGAGCCAATTTTCACAGAATCATTAAGGTTGGAAAAGACCTTTAAGATCATCAAGTCCAACCATCAACCCAACACCTACTAAGTTTCCAGGCAGGCAAGCTCGTATCACATCCCTGCAGTTGAATACTGGTATGGCAGGGAGAGCCCGGGGAGCAAAGGACTTACTTAGCCTACAGGTACTGACGTTCTGGATGCCAGACTGCATGCAGGGGCAGAAGCCTTCATTGGGTGGATAATCCGTACCATTGGCAAAGAGAGTTTTCGGTGCCACAAAGCGATAGGTAGGCACACCCTCGAACTTCCCGGACCCCTCATACACCAGTGTCATAGATCTGGAAGGGTTTCAGTGGAGAAGGATCACTATTAGCCAACAGGGTCACAGCCCAGAATTGGGCTCTTATCTTTGCTGGATAAGATATGGTTGCAAAGTAACTTAGACTTTGAGATCAAGATAAACACTCGGAGAAGTGCTTTGTATGGGGAATGAGTACTTAAGCCATTTGCTTTCCATGTTTTAAGCACAGATAAAGGGTTGGTCAGAACTAGTTATGGAGAGAAACCACAGGCTTATAAGTATCTGCAGTATCCAGATGAGATTTGTTTAAAGGTATGTAGTAATCCCTAGGACTTCTCTCCAAGAGCTAATACCCTCTTTGTGCAAGCCCTGGCTCTGAGGTGCTCTGTCACAGGGGATGGACACTGGCTAAATCTCTTTTGCAGCATAACTCCAGCATATAGGCTGTCAGGGGAGTGGAAAATTTTACTACATTATGCAGCAAGATTTTTTTCTTGATACAACAGGCTAGCAGTGTTGTTCTGCATTATTGCTACCAGCTGGCCAGGACAGATGCAAGTTTCCAGGAGGGAAGTTTGCTCTCTTCACACTCGAGCAAGGCTTGCAGGGATGCAGAGACAGCCTGGGCAAGCCAAGGGGATGCTTATTCCTATAGCTGCCTTCTGACACCAGGACCACAGATGGGGGATTCCAGGCATGTTCAGCAGTTACATGCACACCTCTCGGCCGCGCTCACCTTCCAGCAAGGAGGCAGAGGCTGCCGCAGCACATCAGCAGGATAAAGCCTCGCCTAGCTTGCGGGGACATCCAGACAGCTGCATCTCAGCATCAGCTGCACTTAATGTGCAAACAGCGTAGGAGATGAGCCACACCATGCTGTTCCCTGCCCACAGCTGCCTGCCCTGCAGCGAAGCGGATATGCTCTTAGCTGATGTTTGCGACTCCTTCGTAGCCAGCTGGGCTAGCAGAAAGGCCAAGATAGAGATTTGGGGAGAACAGACAGCACTGCCTGGTGAAGAGGAAGAGCCGCTTCCTCCACAGCACTGTCTTGTGTAACCTCTTGCACTAACAAGAAACCAAGCCTGGTTTCTTCCACTTTATGCCTCGCCTGGAAACATGCTCTGTTCACTACAAGATTTCTGTAGTTTTACAGAAACAGGTATTTGTATTTAAACTTTGATTACTGGTAAACTTCCCTGTAAGTCCTTGGCTCCAGGTCATTTTGGTATTTGCTGATGTCCCTTGTGTAGAGGGATTCCTGCACTAGTACTTGGCTCAACTGACTTTGCTTGTTCCAGTGAGGAGGTCATTGTTCTCTATCCAGCATGAGCACTTGTTTGTTTTGCAGCACTATCTACAAAGCCTGAATTAACATTATCTTCCCCATGCTGGGGACAGGGCTTTGTGCCTGCCTCCTGGCCTCCCCTCCTTCCAGCCTCCGGGAGCTTCCATACAGACAGGCTCTTTAACCCCTGTGCGATCAGCTAAGGTCAGGGTGTCTTACAGGGGACAGACATGCACAACAGCGCATGAAGTAGGCAGCAAAAAACCCCTAATAAAGAGTCTGGAAACAGTGGCACAAGCCCCCATGGTATCACTTTTACAAACATCGAGTCAGCTGAAATAGTTCCACAAATGGCTACAGCAGCATTTCCTTATGACAACTCCCACTTCTCCCTCTCGACACATCTTATCTAGACTGATTATTTTCTACTCATTCAACATGGGCAAGTTAGACTTCTCCAGTGATCTGGAAGGTATTTGTGAATACCACAAGATGCTGCTAATTAGACAGCTACACCGTTTGCAAAGCTCAGACACTGCAACACTGAACTGCAGCTGAACTTTAACTACAGAAACTAGTCCCCAGTCCTCTGCATCCCTGCACAGGTACTCTGCATGCATAGGTTAAGCATTGCATCTCCTGCCACCTACACAGGGACACGCTGGCAGCCATGGCCTCACCTGCAGGCATCAGGGCTGTAGAACTCCAGTGATGTTGGGGACATGAACGGCGGCCACATCTCCCCCGTGGTCCCATTGATCATGTTGCACTCGTTGCTCCGCCAGTAGTTCACCTGCAGGACAAATGTAGAGAGAAGAGCTCAGAACGAGTTTGCTGGACAGTTGGCTTCCACCCCTACATGGGACATCCACCACTCTACGCTGCTTCCGTAGGAGCTTGAGATAGCAACACTGAAGAGCTTCCAAGATCTTCTGTGTTAAAACATCTGCCAGATTAATGGAAAAACATGACAATATCTCCCTGTCCCAAGTGCTCCCGTAGTGGTTTATCTGTAGATTCAGTTGATTTTAGTTAAGAGTGGAATTACACAAGCAAAGAATAAGCACCCCTTTAACAAGGACATTTAAAATAACACCTTAAACACAGGCCACAGGAACCTGGCACTTCAACCATTAGAAGCAACCAGCTCCATCAGCATTTCAAGGCAGTCCAAGTGACACTGATGAGCTGAACTTAATGCTTCATGACAAGCCTCTTGCCTTATGGCTGCCTTCTGACAATTTGCTAGGGCAGAAGTTGCAGCAGTTGAAGTCCTATGGAAATTTGCCTTCAAACTTACAACCCAGAGATACAACAGTACCAAGAGCTTTCAGTTTATCTACTTTAGATCAGGCATTGCCCCCATTAGGGGTTTGCTGCCCGACACTCACCTTCTTTAGTCCATTCCATGAATCCACCATGTGAATTCTACTGATGTTCTTCATGCCCGTGTTCACTGTGAACAGTCCTGAATTGGAGTTATTAAGCTGCAGAGAGAAGAAACTAATTTTTAATCCATTATACACAGCGGGATTGCACTGTGTTAATGACTTTGCATGCTTCATCAGCTCTAGCAGTGCTTCACACTGGAAGCTATTGAACTTTTACTTATTTCAGTTGCTGGCTACAGCTTCCAACATGTCCATTTCTGCTTGAGGGGAAGATTAAGGTAGCCTTACACAACCACCACCAGCTACACATGGCTGCTCCAGTTTGTGAGGAGGATAGCCCAGACACTCAATCCCAAGACCAATATTGTGACAATTGTCGTGTTCCCAAGCAACAGTTTACTTACCTCTATAAATAAGCCAAATTTCCCCTTGAAAGGGATCAGGCCAGGAACAAACATGTTTATTGTATCTATAAGGGGGTCTTCATACCCCCACATAATCTCCCCCACTGTCCGGTTCATGAATGCCTCCTGTTTCAGGCCAGCCAGGGCTCCACTCAGTAAAAGCTTCACAAAGTTTGGTAGGTTTTCCATCATTACAGCTGCTCCCTGGGAAAGAAAACAAACCTCTGAGATGCAAGCCCCATCTTTACCAAAGAGGAAGCAATGCATCTTTGGTGCTCAGCAAGGTCCTTCCACTGCACCAATCTACAGCCCTAGAGAAATACTTCGGACAAACCGAGGTTCACCATTTATCAGCAGTTTGGGAAGAAAGTGGTCGAGGGCTCACAGGCTTCATTTCCCCAGAGGATGCTCAGACAAGGTTGCAGACTCAAGCCCAGCCACTTTGCCACCCCTCTGCACACTCTGCTTTTGGAAAAGTAACAGTCCAACACAACAACCAACACCTAGAAAGCAGAAGACTACATTTTCTAAGCTTAACCACCTCATCGCTTGATTAGCCTTAAGCCCTACAAGAAAGTAAGCTTTTAGTCAGTGTTGGGCATCATCACCCTCCCCACAAGCTCAGAAGTGGGTACCAATCCAGGGAGCAAGTTCTTACCATCATCAAAATGTTTGGCACAACGATGTACTCTTCTTCACTGCCGTTGGACAAGTCTGGCTCGAAGAAGAGTTTCCGGTACTCCAGGAAGGAGACTGTGTCATTGTCGTAGAACGTGATATTTGTTTTATACCTAAACTCTCTGCAAAGAGATGGGAGAGATCATGGGAACCTCCCCCCACGCAGTGCCCCTGCAACACCTGCGGAGTCACGATGGGCTGCACAGGCCTGGGCTTGTTTCTGAAGAGCAGAGGAAGGAGATCGAACCCCAGCAAGACGCCATGAGGCAGGAGGGGAGGCAGCATGCTGAGGAACAGGCAGCATCAACCTCACACCCCGACCAGGGTTAGGGTCTAGCAGGAGGATGTGGCAGCCTGGGAGGGAACCGTCCCTGACAGACGGGATTCTGCAGCAGCTTGCAGACACCAAGTGTTTCTTCCCAGCTGACAAGAAGTCTGAGACAAAAGCATAAATCTCCTCTGTCACTTCACCTACAGCCATTGAAAAGCCCAGCCCTATCAGGGAGACACCCAGACCTACACCAACCCACACACCAAAACAACCTGCAAAACCTACCAAGATGGCACAAGTCCCTCCGGTGAGCCCACACTGATTTGCCCCAGAGCTCCCCGATGGCTACCAGGTTCAGGGCAGCTCAACCCTCCATGCAGCATCGTGGCTCTCCTGCCGCTCAGGGCTTCGGGCCACGCCATCTCCTGCACGCCGCCCAGCACCACTCGGCTCCATGCCACAGGGGCAGCCCAGTCTCATGGCGGCTGCAATGCTCCACAACAGCACAAGGTTGTCCCCAGTACATCGTGAGCCTGTTACGGCTCCCGAGGAAGCTGAAGCTCAACCCACCAACAAAAACAAAGTCCTTTTTTGTGGAGCCTCTGTTTTATGGCCCACATCAGGGAAAGGCACTAATCTTGCTCAGCAGAAACACAAGGACGCTAATAAGCTTTGCCCCTTTGATTATTCTTATTTATGGTAAGTGAAGCCAACCCCAAGCCAAGTGACTGATGCAATCACAACATACAGAATCCACAAGCCCAGAGGAAACAAGGGCATGTATATACTGCCAGGTTTCCCCCCCAGCACTACTCAAACAGCTTTGGATTAAACCAGTAATCTTCCCACATGAGCTTGCTTAGACTGCTGATCTGACTTTGCCTACATGTGTAGGCACTAATGTGTTGAATATCGCTATTTATGAGTAAGTTCTCATGCTCAACTCAATGCCAACCATCATTTCATGTTTCAGGTCCAGAGAAGCATCTGGGGCTTCAACCACCACCCTCAGTCATGGCAAATAGACCCAGCCCTGCTGTAGGTGAGCCTGAGCAAGTTTTAGTGCTCCATACTGGTTCTCATGACCAAAGCATTCATGACCAGACCCCAGCTTCTGGGTCTCATGTTAGATAAGATGTCTTAGGCCAATCCATGAAGTTTGATACTGAGGTGACTCCAGCTCTGGAGCTGCACAGTGAAGATTAAACAAGTCCACTCTGAAGACAAATGTTGCCCATCACCACACCAACACCCTTCATGCCCATGTTTGGACTGTATCAGTCCAGGTCTAGCTGCCCAACAGGTCCCAGCACGGGACTGAGCCCCACAACTCAGTGAAGCACCCCAGCAGCCAGAGGTCCTACTTGAGGCTTTGGCAAGATCAGAGCAATTGCAGCACATTTGGGTTGCTTTAAAATCCTATGCCACTGGACTCATGCCAAGTACACTAATGCCATTCCCCCCTGCCAGAGGAGTCATCCAGAAGCCTGGCAGGCAGCACGGTGGCTGGGCTTGTATCTAGCTGGACCACAAGTGGTACCTGACCTGTAAACATAGGGTCCACGCTGGTTCAGCACTGGCTTTGCTCCCTGGAGGACCTCCTTGGGGTTCAGCACTTCAAAGAAGTGCACTGACATGTAGAAAGGAACGGGAATGTCTTTCCACATGCTGAAGGAGATGCTGCTGGGGTCAATCCTGACATTCTGCAAGGAGGAAAAAAAAAAGTAAGGAGACAACTTTTGGGCTCAGTGGCTGCAGCTGAGCACATCCACCCTTGGCTCCACATAAGGCCCAGCTGAAGGCAGCAGTTCCAGCAGGGGCTCTTTGGAGGATCCAGGCATGTTACACAGACTGAAACCAAGACAGATCTAAACCAGGAGCTCTTATGTATGCAGAAGTATCAAGTTTTTGCCACAGGATGTCTGTAGGCTTATTTATTCAGGCTCAATTTTCTAGATCCTACCCACAGGATTCCAAAGCTCTATTGATGTGCTGGAGGCTCACTCTGCACTAGACAAGCCAGTACTGAATCATTCACAGCTCTGTGCCAGGCAAGCCAAACATGCAAACAACCCTGTCCTGAGAGCTTCCACTTGCCTGCCAGGTTTGGCAGCTCCACGCAGCCAGAAGCAGGCAAGGGCTGCAAGAGGTGCTCATCTGCACAATTGTTTGGGTGCCAGCAGGGAGGACCTGCTAAATTCCTAAAAAGCAGATAGAGAACTGGGATGGAAAGCCAGCTGTGTCCCAATAACACCGTGCAGGACACCTTTGCGGAAGCTCAGCAGCCATCCTGCAGTGACTCATAGCTGGTCATAAGGCAGGTCAAAGGCAATGTGCAATCGTGCTTTCCATATCACTGTCCCATTTGCTGGGAAGTGCCTGCAGGAGCCCAAATATGACTTAAGCCCTCACCAACTCCCCAGCCCAGGAGCTGGCATCTTGGCACATCTGTCTCCACTTCCTCCCTGCCTCCCAGGGGCTGCCTTATGGACAAGAGCCTGTTCATTCTTGGGCACTTATTTTGGGTGTGTTCCACCATAATCTTTGCTTCCTCTGCAAGCACAAGTCCATGCCATGGTTAAGTAACACACCCTGCTTATGGAAGCAGGTTTGATCCACTAATTGGTGAAAGCACATGGGCATTATCCCACGGCAGCTCAGCAGCCCCACAACAGCTCTTCTGCCCTGGAGCAGCTCGATCTGACTGCGCACGTATTTTTCTGCCATGGGGGATTGAGAAGGAAAGCTGCCAAAGGCTTCCACACAATGCCCCATCCTTCTTTAGCCATTTCCTGGCCAGGCTGTGCCACCCGCAAGCAGCAAGGCTTTGCAAGCCCCTTGCTCAAGCCCGTATCCTCCAAGCCCTACCCCTGCGGGGACATCTCCCCAGCACAGTGTAACCCACCCAGCAAACCCTTCCCACCTCCACGTCAACACCCGCCTGCTGCTGGCCAAGAGCCTCCATCCTGCCAGCCTCAAGGATTTTGTGGCAAAGCAACAGTTAGAGCAACTCAGATTTTATTTAGCCAGCTTTGAAATCCCTACTCCTGCGTGCCCAATAGAGTCTGAATCTGCTTTCATTTATTTGCTTGTTCCATCTTGCACTCCCTGAATCCCTCATTGCACATGTATTTATTTATTTAGGAGGTACCCAGTCAGATGGAGCTGCAACCCTGCTCCCTTTCTAAGCTCTCTCCCATCTGGGCACAGCAGCTCTAGGTACTCCACAGATGCTGCTAAGCAAGATCTACTTAACACAGTAGCCTTCGAATTAAGCTACTCATAGGTCAAAACAAACATGGTCACATGTCGGAAATAAAAAACAGAGTATTTTTTGCTTAGATGGCTTACAAAGTTTGATCCCTTCTGACCAGGCTGATCTCTGCTCCTAAGAAACTGAAAGGAACTGGCCACTGCTCATCTCCTCCAGACAGAACCAGAGGAGCAGCAGCTCCATCAATAGTGCCCAAATCCTGCTTCTCCAGGAGGGAGGTTTCAGCCACCCTGCTCAGTAAAACCAAGAGTTGAGGTTTCCTCTTCAGATTGAGAGGAGGAGTCAACCTGTGTGCAAGCACAATTCTATGTCAGATCTCATCCTCCACATCCTCCCATCACCATCCTCATCATCCTGCTAAAACAGCAAGGACAGTGCTGCCAGTCTTCCGCCAGCTTTCAGGCAGGACAGCACAAGAGTTCCCAGGTGGAGAAGACACAGTAAGTGTGAGATGGAGGAGTCTGCAGTCTCATCATGTTAAATCTCGTATTTTAAGCATGTCTATGGCCCCCCAGCTGCTTCCAGAAAAGCAAGTTTTGCAGGGCCAGTACTGCAGGCAGCCCAGCTGCCAGGACAGCAATCGATGCAGATTCAGTTTCTACAAATGGGGCAGGAGCTCGGCTCCCAGTTCCCTGTTTCTACCAGCTCCTGATGTCCATGAAACTCGACAAAGATTGACTTTTACTGCATAAGCCAAAGGACTGTCTGGCATTGCCCAGCCACCAGCACTTCCAGAGGATACGTTTAAGTTCGTTTTCCACAGAGACTTTGTGGCACACATAACCACAGCCATTGGCCATGAGGTTGTTTATTCACCTCTTTCACCAGAAGCACATTTCCAGGTGCTGACCTGCGCAGGTGCAAGCTTGGAGAAATACCCAGGCAAGGGGCACGTCTCCTTCAGCCAGGGAGAAAAAGGTTTGGCTAAATGTGGGAATAAGCTAATTGATTCATTACAGCAGGATAACCAGTGTTGGAACAGTGAGGACAGGAACACAGGTTCACAAGGTTGTACAGCATTTACTGAACAGACCAACAACTCCGTCCACAGCCCCACACCTTAACCATGGGAGACAAACACCCCTTTGGCCTCAGGACCTCTCTTGTGGATCAGACAGGTCTTCAGAGAGGCAGCTCTTTACATTTTCAGTTTAGGAGGAGAGGATGACTTGGAGGTTGCTTGGTGCACAAGGCTCCTTCAGAGCACTCTTGCACACCGTCGGTCCCATTTCCAGTTTGGAAAGCATCTCCTCAGAGTACACCTGAGCCTGGTAGCCTGCATGCCTATATGAAAGGAAGAACTAGCGCTGCAGGTAAAGGCAGTGGGGACTAGAGGAAGAGCTGGTGCTCAGGACAATGCTCAGCCCAGCGCCAGCGGCAGTTTCCCCCCAGCCAACTCCAGCCACGCAAAGAGTCCTTACTAGTCGGGGATGAAAGCCACCCAGCCCAGGCACACTTGCTGTACCCAAGGGTGGAACACCCCAAGCCCGGATTTGCCAGCACTAAGATTGTGAGGCTGCTCCGAGTGGCAGCGAAGCAGAGACCCTTGGGTGCTGAGCCTCCTCACACCCCTGCGGATGACCCTAGGCAGCGAAAACACACCCATGCACCGGCCCTGGCTGTGCACAGGCTCCAGCGCCCCAACCCTGCGCACGCACCACCATCACCATCACCCCTGCGCCTTGCAGCGGG